CGGTGCCGGCGGTGCAGAGCTGGGTTCGTTAATTTAGCGGCGCGGGAATTGCTGGGTATGGGAGAAGAGGTGTTTCAGGGCTGTGCGGCAATGCCAGTGGAAGATAGCCGTTTCTCTGTAGCTTTCTAGGGTAAACCGCGCTTGTGTTGTTGACTGGACTGTGGCATACAACCAGGTCAGGTAACCTGGGGTGGGCTTCAATTTTCAGGTTAAGACCAGTGATCGCTTTTTATTTTCTCTGTGAGCACTAACTTTTACTGCAGTAGCAGTTATTTTCTGCTATTCTTTTTTTTTTCCCCACAGCAGATTAGCAAATGGAGCTGTAATTGGGAAAGCAAATCATTGATCTGGTTAAAATTCTGTTTACGCTCAGACCAATAAAGTAAGCTGGGCGGGTGATGGTTGTGTAGAGACAACCTGTGTGGTGAGCAGCGTTCAGGGGAAAACCAGAGGTCTAGGCTGTGCGCTTTTGGTCTTGCACACGTAAGGAACCTCCTGTGCCCGTGGGATGTGTCCACTCTCCACAGGCTAGGTTGAGTCCGATATTAAAAGCCTATGAATAGAAATGTGCTCTGACTTAAGAGACTGAAAACACCTCTGTCTGGTGTCAACAGGAAGGAGGAAAAAGAAGTAGAAGCAGAAAAAGTCATTCATGAAGAGAGAAGTGAACCTAGCCTGATCTGTCTGCCACCACGCAGCAGAAACTATCTTCCTCCAGAGAATATACAGAGCTGCCTGGAGTCTCACGTCAAGGAGGTTTTTGGACCCTCGCTTACTGGTAACTGGCAGCAGACACCGCTCAAAGAAAATAGGTTAAAGTATCGCCTCCTGGCTCAGCTGGCAGAAGAACTTGGTCATGCTGTCCCCAATTCGCAGCTCCACCTGATGCGCAGTGCTGAGGATGTCCTGAATTTCTATAGCACTCCCGTGAAGGATGTGTCCAAGTTTGATGAACTGTGTGCTGCGGAGCTACCCCCAAACCTGAAGATTACCTGGGAGCAGTGAGCTGCACCACGAAGCATCGCTTTGCTTTGCTTGTGTCCTTAAGGAAGGACTGCAGAGGAGAAGCAGAGCCTTTTCATTGGGGTAGCAACCAAATAGATAAATATCACTAATAAAAGTTCATGGAGTTGTCGTTAGGTTTCATTGTTTGTTTTGTTACATATGATAAAAAGAGCAGAAGTTCTCCCTGTGAAACAGTGATGCGATGTGGTCAGTAACGGTACTCTTTTGTGCTTTCTGGCCTTTACTATGCTGCCCAGCAGTTGCAGGGTCCAGTGGGGATAAACAGGGGGACCAACTCCCCAGTTTCTGCCCTGCAGCTGGTAAAATTCTTATCTTCGGTTCTGAACTGTGTATTGGGCTTTTGCGAGTGCAGTTTGCCCGTGCAAGGAGCCCTGTTCAGCTTGGCAGCCAAGACTAGCTGGGTCAGGTAGTAGCTATGGAAAAACATGTAATAGCTATGTGTTAGTTTCTCTTCCCGTCTGACTGATGATGTAGGTTTGCTTTTAATTAGAGGAGGCAAGCAGTGAGGTTCAAAGGACAAGAAAATAAATGCAGCAGTCTGAGAAATGCATGGTACTTTGTGAATGTTTTCTACAAAACAGGGTGTTTAAAGTGAGGTTAGATTCTGTATCTGTGGTATTTCTGGGAATGATACAGAAATTCCCTGGTTATACCACTTGCTCTCTTGAACCCTAGCTCCCCTGGTTTCTTTCAGTGTACCTGAAGCGTGCTTGGGAACTGCTGCTGTTCTGTGTTACAGTACTCAGTTTCTTTATTCGGCAGACTTCTCAAGTGCCGCTTTCTTCTCATAGCTCTGAAGGAATTTAGAAAGCCTTGGTTCTTTTCTCCTTTTGAGTCCCGGGGAATTACAGAATAAAGTTGTGTTGCAGGTTGAATGTGAGGGAACTGGGGATGTCTCACTGCTGGTCACTGTGGAAGGCTGGCTGTTCACAAATCCCTTCCCTGTAGCTTATGGAGAAACGCAGTGTGATAAAGAGCTATATCTGTGTCATCTTGTGTGCTTCAGGGGCTGTTTGGGAGCAATGAATTGGAAGTATTTTCTTCATGCAATGGTCTTCTTTCCATCAAAGGAGAGATACGTACGCTCCCTTGCTTCCTCTTAGTAGTCATTATCTAAAAAAACCACTTTCAGTGGTAGCTGCACTTTCTGCTCATTCTCACCCTTCTGTGTCTGTCCCAGCACATAACTCATAGCTCATATAACATGATCAGAAGAGTGAAAAACAAAGGACTGAAAAAATAGGAGGATAGGCAAGAAAGGAGCATGACAACAGCCCCATCTCGTGTTTTGCTGAGTTGAGTCAAATTGCCATTTCCCAAATCTCAGATGCTTTAGTCCCTTGAGGTCGAAACCTCACGCTTGCATCAGCACACCTGTGCAAGACACTGCAGGGAAAAACATACAAGGGAAGAAGATCAGACATGGGTGTTGGAGATGCGAAACTTTTAACTGTTTGTAACAGGCTGAAAAAGCAGAAGTCTGAAATGAGATCCAAGTCTTGCATAGAACACCTGTGCCATGGAAGGACTAAGACTTCTAGGTGCTTAAACGCTTTTTTTAATCCTTCGACTTCCAAAGGTACCTAATTTCTATTGAATTCAGTGATAGATAAATAAATAAATAAAAGCCCCACCCATGCATTTGCAGGAGGGCTGATGTTCCCTTGTTTTGGGCAGAACCAGTAGGGAAGATCAAAAGAAAGTGTAAAGAAGCCAGGTTAGGAGGGTATTTCTTAACAGAGAGACGCGAGGCCAGACGGGGTGGACCCGTGTCACTGTGAATGACGGAAAGCCATGGTCTGTTAGGACAGGGGTAGGTGGTTTTCCTGATCCCAAGAGTCACATTTTGGTGCCTTCACACAGCCAAGAGGGACACTCCCCGTACGGGGAGGAGCAAAACCAACAGCAGCTCTGCAGGGGTACCTGCTCCCCTGCCAGAAGGGAGTCAGCTGGGGCAGGGAGAGGCCACAGCCGTCTAGCTGGGTGACCCCCCCAGGCAGGGGGCCAGAGGCTGGGGAACTGAAGTGCATGAAACTGCACAAAGCCCGAGGGCCATGAATCCCTTGTAAGAAATGATCCAGCTGCAACACACACAGAGTTTGTCGTAACACTGGACTATCGAAGCCACTGTCAGCTGCCTAAGCTGACTGTACACACCACATAGAGAGAGAGAACGACGTGCCTCAGAACAAGAATGGAAAAAGAAAATAAATCCAAAGGCTACCTACATGAAACTGCACAAAGCCCGAGGGCCATGAATCCCTTGTAAGAAATGATCCAGCTGCAACACACACAGAGTTTGTCGTAACACTGGACTATCGAAGCCACTGTCAGCTGCCTAAGCTGACTGTACACACCACATAGAGAGAGAGAACGACGTGCCTCAGAACAAGAATGGAAAAAGAAAATAAATCCAAAGGCTACCTAAAGACTGATTTTTCACTGGGTCAAAGATTCCAGGAGGTGGACACACACTGATCCTGAAAGGAAAGGTACCTGGAAAAGCAAATGTGCTGTTAGGTTTAGACTTCCTGTGCAGGGGTTACCTGTCAACTGGAAAAGGCTGATGGTACGATACAGCTAAACTGGTGGCAAACACATAGAGCTAGCTGAGAGGAAATGCAGTGACCATGTGTGACAGGTCTGGGTTCATCTAACCAGTTATCCAGAACTTAGGGGCTTGCAAACAAGCATATGCACAGCCCTGTGGGTCTGCATCTACTGCAGACCTCTCCTCGGTGCAGGCATCCTTACGTACCACGTCAGAGAGGAGAGTAGGGCTCACGTGCTTATTTCAAAATGGAGAGAGGTGCCTCTCACCATGCAGCACTATAGCTGGAAGGATAAAGCAGTCCTTCATGAAATGGAAAATCAAAATTCAGATCCTTCTTCAACCTGGAGGATGGGGAAGAAACTCAAACTTCCACCTTCAGAAAGACTGCCTGCGCCATCGCAATTAGAGCACAAGCAGAGGGGGACAACAGCAATACTAATTCTGTAGAAGCTGTTGACCAACAATGCAAGAGTCATGCTGTGGTAACGACACACTTGGGAGGAACACAAGCTCAGGGACCACAGTTGCAAAAACTAGGCTACAGAACATCAGGTTTGCTGCTAACCCTTTGCAGTTATGAATGGACGTATGTGCTGCTGACTGGGGTTATTGATGGGAGTATTCATGGCCGATAAGCTCTCCTAACATGTCATTATTCTCCTAACACAGCAGAACAAGGACCGATTCCACAGCGGAATTTATTCAGCAGAAATTTTCCCTGTTGAATTTGGATCAAAGTTGTAGTGAGGGACCCAGAACACTACTGATGGTTCCTCATGGTCACAGAAAGCCTGCATGGCCCACATCTGATCCTTCTATTCCTAAGACCGAAGCAGACATCAGTAGAGTCAGAAGAAAACACCAAACTGCAATAAACACCACAAGATCTGACACAAACAGGCATCCCGAGTTTTCTTTGTGTCACGGGCAAATGACAGAGACCAGGCTACACATTTTGGTTTTTTGATAATTTTTTTTGCATCTGTTTTGGAAAAAATATACAAAAAAAGCCAAGAAGAACCAACATGGAAATGTGAGGTAAACATTCCAGTAAAAGTACAGACAGAGGCTCCATTCTTTAAAGGAGACACACAGCAGTTATCACCATGCTAGAAGAATGAGATGCAGGAAAATCCTAGAAACAGTGAAAAGTCATGTAATGAAGCCTTTGCCCCAGTTCTAGCCATTGCAATGTGCTCTTTTTTGTCCCCCCTCCCACCCACCCCACTTAATTGTCTTTTTATTCCTTAAACAAAGTTGTTAAATTGTAAAATAGCAGTTTTAATATAAATTCTGTATGGCAGAATTTACAAAAACGCAGACTGCTACTACAGACTATGTCAGGGTTTTTTAGGTTTTTTTTTTCACTTGCTAAACCCCCTTACTGAAAACTACACTGTCAGGGCAAAACTGGCTTCTTGGTTTTACCAATCTGAACGCCAAGTAATGCCACTCCACTGAAGAAGAGGTGTCACTCTTCCTGTGTACCAGTGTTACTACTTACCCCACAAATCTATGATGAAGTTATGAAACACTTAAAGCGCAGCCTCAGCTCCACAGTGGTGGCTGTATATCCCCATAGTCAATTCCTGAAGCCAGGTTTCACTGGGAGCTTTAGCTGGGCCTCGGGGAGGAACGGAGATCTAGGGAGATGATATAGTCAGCTCACATGCTATCAGCTACTACTATAAATTTTCATGTCCAGTCTGTCTATATTGCAGACCGAGTATGTTGTTTTAGTTATTCTTCAATAACTAGCACAGTCACCCACACCAGAACAATCAGGCTTTGATTCAGTAAGATGCTTAAGGACATACTTCAGGTCCGCCAAGTAGTCTGGAAACTGAAGTCCATAATGCTAAGCAATGCGTAAGTAGCTCACTGAATCAAGGATGGAGATTTATTACTTGTTGATAGTATCATTCAGGTTAGATTCGTAACCACCACTATTTTAATCTGAGTTAAATATATGCAATTACTTCAGATCTATGCTGAGCTTACTCAGATCAGAGTCTGCCCCACTGGTAGAAGCACTTCTTATGGTAAGAAAAGGTAAATGTGAATTATTTTTTTTTCAAGATATATAAATTCAAAAATGGAAAGAAAAATTGTGTACAAATATCACATAACAACATCAACAATTCCATAGATGTAGTTCCTCAGTGCACACTTTAAACAAGAAAAGGTTTTTTTGTTCTTTTTCCATTTTGCTTTTCAATTCTGGCATAATAATATTAAAGCTGACAAAAAATCAGGGCAAGCTACATCACTTTTTCATACAAAAAAAGTACAAAACATTAGCCTCTAACTAGACATAACATAATACTGGTCATCACAGTTAGACATTTAGTAACTGTGTGTCTTGGAGTACTGTAGTGGAGGGTAATAAAAAATAGCTTCTGTTGCCCATCTTCCATCTCAGGTTACTTCAGTCATAGAGGCAGAGTGATTCTGCAAAGAGAAAGGCAAGCACATGAACATGTGTAAACATTTCAGCATTTACATATCCTAGTGTGTAAAACAAGTGAGAAACACCTTCACTAATAAAACCTGTTGCCCAGCTAATGTAGGGCTTTAGAATGAAGAGATCTCTGCAAAGCTGACTGCTGTCTATCCTGGGGTCACAGTGGAAAACACTGAACTCAAGCGCTGCTTCTGGGCTCTGAACACTCGCTAGCAGGCCTGAAAAACAAGGGGCCACTTTTTCAGTAGAGACTTTCAAACTGGACTGGGTCCTGTGCAGAGGGACATGCCAGTACATGCTCGGGCACTTCATACAGTGCACAACTAGTACAGTGGGTCTGTCCTCAGTCATGAAGAGCCTGAAAGAGCACTGCTTGGCTTCATGCCACATGTGCAGGTAGATCCGACACAGTTTGACAACAGGGAACACACAGAGCTTAAAACCATACGTAGATGGGGTCATTACACCAAAACACATGCAGACAGAGATATAAAGCAACACAGAAGTCCTCTTCGGGTGGAAACAGTGTTGATTTAACCTTCTTGGCAGCCAATGTCCAGGACTTCAGTAGCCGTACTGAGTCGTCCTTAGATCACGCTGCGTCTGCAGGTTTGTGTGGGTGCAAGGCACAAGAAGAGTGGGAATGGATGCAGAAATCTGCACAGAGAAGGATGATGCACCTCTTGTAAGTGAAGAAACAGTAATCAGCAGCCACTCCCAAGGCCTTGTTTATAATAGCTTCAGAGTAGGATCACTTTTTTTCCCAATCTACTCCTGCATGGTAGATGTCTGGTCATTTAGAGACTGACACCCTGAATCAGAGAAAATTATCTTGTTGATTATAGTGGACGTCAACAATTAAGGCCTAGTCCCTACCTGCACTTCACAGTCCAGAAGTATAAAGAGCTGACCAGACAAAATTTTTCTCACAGTGTATGAATATTTTAACTTCTTCAGCCCTTTTGTCATGCATGATGCAATGTAAGCAGCACTTAGTTTCTGGACTGCAAGTCCACCAAGAGAACAGTTACTGCATACAGTTTTCCAGATTTAGTTGGAGGTCTTCCAGCAAATCTTTGTCTAATCAAAAGTGACTTTTCAATTAAATAAAACATTTCCAAGTGTCTCTTCCATTCTTTGAATTCCTGTTTTTGGTTTATTTGTCAAAGGGTTTAACAAAAATTACTATTGATCCTGCCACACACCATGTACACAGCAATGACAGGCCACCTAATACAGGAAGTACAATTTAAAGAACAAATAAATTACATCAGGGCATTCAATTCTTCCTTGTTCCCAGAAATTCTTGGCAGGTGTCATTTGCTTGTTTGTTTTGAAAGGACTGGATATGATCCAGTTAACGCCAGCGTAAGCGATCTGAAGTTAGGAGTTCAACAGAAACATCATCAATGATGATGCTCCTGCTAGCCAATTTTTTTGCTACTAACTTCTAATGACTTAGAGATAGAAAAGAGTACATGATTTCTTCTTATAGAAGATACTGAACAGTAATAAGGGTAAAAAAGTAATCTCTATAATATTTTTCTGGACAGCATAGTTCATCCTCAGGATTACGAATGTTAAGAGTAAATCCTTAAGACATCCCAAAGGCATTCCAAAGTGTAATTAGACAGAATTATCGTTACTTTTATCTCAGTTTTCTGTTCTTCTAAGCAAAAGTTTGTTATCACAAACGATACGCAGGCATGTGAAATCCTACTGGTTTAGCTTTGGATGTGCACGAGGGCACAAGATCTACAGTATTTGGTAGTTTAAAGGATAAATGTCTTAAACTCTCTTCTGATGCAAATTCATTCTGTTCAATGGGCTTACTGTGAGGAATAAAACCAGCTCCCTGTGTAGTTATGTGTATGACTAACTTTTACTCTGATGTAACAGAAAATGTGTGTGATGATGGTCTGAGTGAGAGGATTTACAGTACCTGTGCACTCAATGTCTCCAGAGGACTTTCCACTCTTGGAAAAGCCATTAACGGCATACCTCGTGGGTCTTCAGGCTTCGGTTTAGAAGGAGCTCCATGAGTGCCTTTAAAGTTATGGACAACACATATCCCCTGTGTAATGCAGAAAAACAAAAAGTGAAGTCAGCATGTTCTGTCTCAAGGGAAAATGCACAGGAATTACCGTCAGCGATCTGACAACTGCCAGTTCTTGCGAAGAACTTAACCTGGATTTTAGTTCAAGGCATCATCTATCTCAGCCTGGGGCTACGGTGCATTTACTGACATAGTTGGGCGTGGTGGACTACCTTGGTAAGTGAGTTCAGCTGGCCTCCAGTCTGAGGTGATGAACCATTCTCAGCCTGTTTATGTTTTGTACAGCAGAGACTCCTATGTCTGCTTTATCATCACAGAACCGTGGACCACCCCGATGATGCATTTTATTGGCCAAATATTCACTTCAGACTCTGACCGTCATTTCCAAAGAGTGAAAACAGCTCACTGGATGGCTGGATGGCTGAATCTACCTGACATCTGGATGACATCAAGCTCATTTAGCACCATTCCTGCATTACTTTCAGCACAACTGCTGTGGTGTTCATCCTACAAGCCGTTCCCTTGTGCATGACCACACTTACTGTACCCACATGGTGATGCTAGTAAGAGTGAACACACATGGCAGATTGGGGCTTGGGAACACAGTGGAAAAAAAAGACATATGGGAGCTGACACATCTGCTGTCAGAGTGATTCCTGCAGCCAGACCCTTGCTGGCTCTTCCTCTTCGCTCTCTTCAGACCTGAGCAACAAGCAGACTGCAGCCTGGGTGAGTCTTGTGCAGGCAGCAGGAATCTCACAGCATCTCTCCCCTCTGTGCTCCGGAGAGACCTCTTCCACCACTCTGCAATTGGGCTTGGGACATTTGCAGGGTGGCAGAAGGTCTGCAGGGCCGAAACGTGGCTGGGAACAGGCTATCTCTTCTGGACACAGGTACTGGGGAGCCCACAGATTGTCCTGACCAGATCTGTGGGGTGACTTCCTCTTATATGGCATGGGCTAAATTTAAACTGCCTTTCCCTGTGGGAATCAGACAAACTGCTTACATGAAAGCCAAGGAGATTCAGGGCAGGGGTTGTGGGCATCTTTTTATTTAAAGGGAACATGGGAATAAATGATATGTAAAGGTTTGGGGTTTTTTTAAGTACAGAATAGAAAAAAAATATCAGCGACAGGACAATCTAGATTTAAGGTATCTTTGAAACCTAATCCCTCCTGACTACAGGGATAAAGTGTCTGTTGCTATGCAGTGGATAGTTTTGAAGCATATTTTGATTAAATGGAACTAGGCACACTTCTCGGTAATAGTGTGAATCACCTTGACTGCTGTGTGGGTAAATCGTCAGCAAGAGCTCCCTCACCAAACAAAATACTTAAATCCCACAGCCATTTGGTTATCCTACGAGACGTTGAACAACTTCAGCTCAACTACAAATGCTGCAAAGAAGAGGTAGTTTTGTCTCGCAGGGAGTTTGTCCTGGCCTTGCTTTCTACTGTCCTTCTTTTATGATCTGAAACAAAATGGGGAACCAGGACCACTGCTTAGACAACGCTCTGTATCCTACATTTTTGCCGGATACCAGGCAGACAGTAGGGTTTTGCAACACAAGGGTATCAGAGACGAAGTCGCAAGCATGCCCCCCTTTTGACATCAGCAGAATTTTACACCATCTTTAAAGCATTTTCCAGGACAGGTCAAATAAGAACATGTACAGTGGTCAAAATAATCTTGAAATACACACAATGCACATTAGACTTATTAATTATCAACCTCATTTCATATTAGGATTTTATCTGATGATACATTTAATTAGATGAGGCTAGAATTAGTTCTTATCAACTGGATTAATCAGCTGCAATAGGCCACCAGAGAATAGTTTTGTTGTTTGTTTTTTAAACTGAGGTATTTTTTAAAAGGAATGTGGAAGGACTGATGGGCTTACCAGAAACAAAGCTACAGCACTGCCCAAGATGAAGCCTGCGATCACGTCCGAACAGTGGTTTCGATACTCAGAAACTCGATTTAGCCCGGTGAGGAACGCAGCACACAGAGTACCCAGACACAGCACAGGTTTGGCTAGTCTGCTACTCTTTGTTTTAATTGTGCTTGTGATGTACATCTGCAACAAAGGGCAAGACAAAAATGAAAAGGGGCCCTGCCAGAAACGCCTCTTTTTCCACCCAGGCAAATCCTCAATCATCAAGGATGTGACAAAACCCATAATTCATTAAAAAAAGGATTGGGAAATAGAGAAAGAGGTTTAAAGTAATTCAGAGAATACTTTTAAGAGAGCAAAACAGATACTGTTAAATGATGTTTCAGGATGTCAAATATCTCATCAACTACATTTACATACTGGACTTTTTCTGAGCTGTTATGTACGGGCTCAGTTTTACTGACTTCCTAACTTGTGCAAGTACTTGCTCATATGCTAGCAAACACGCACTCTGAATGTAGACAACTAAATGTTTGCAAAACGAGTCAAGAATCTATGTTTATACTCCTCTAGAAACTGTAATGTGCATGTGATGGAGTGCTTAGCATCCGTATGAACTAGCTGCTGCAGTTTCCTATGTGGCGTTAAGTTCAAGAAGTAGAGAACATTAAGAGACACTGTTCCAGACATTTTCTCTGCAAGATGAAATAAAACACAGAATATTAGAGAGATTTCTTTCAAAACAAAGTTGATTCTGAAAATGTAATTCCACAGCATGAAGTTGCACTGTGTTCTGAATATATTTTAATGAACCCCACATGTTTTTATGCAGTTTGTATTTTATTTTAAATGCATTTTGACAGAGAGAATAAAACCATGTGGGTCATAATTAGCATCCAGTCATTAATTCCAGAGCCACAAAATGGCAAAGATCAAGCAAAGCAAGCCTGATGGCAAAACAATTCAATAAAATCCTTTTTAGCAAGGAAGTATGGATGCCTCCATGATTGAAAAGCTTTGATAAGTGAAGCAAATATGTCAAATTCATTTGACAGGAATGTGTTCAGATGACACATTGCCTCCCATACATGAAACAGAATCAGGAAGACACATTTGAAAAATTAATTTGATTATTATTACCAATCAGCTGGTAAATGAACCTGATTCACATAGTGTACATCTGATCCAGTGAAAGTACAAACACCTGTTCTGTTGGGGAATGGAAAGATTACAAACCATGGACGTGTCTCTTAAAAGATGCCATTTTATTTGTAAAGAAAAAAACGTTCTTTTTTTTTAATAAAAATAAGTAAAATCACCAAAGCTGAAAATATTTCACTCTTGACCCTTTTTCTGTTGTCAGAAATGGAGATATGGTTCTGTTAGTCTTCAGGACAAAAGACTCTATATAAGATACTTATTGTTTTAATCACACCTGCAGTAACACCACAACTAGGATCTCCGTCTGTGCTGTCTGAAGGTCATGAACCTCCTCTTTCTCTCGGATGACTTCACTTCTGGGGAAAGGCACTGCTGAGCACTTTGCCATGAGCAGTACTGAAATCGGAGCGGGACCCTGCGCGATGGCGGAGACCCAAGAGTTGTTCTCCTTCATTGCTGCTGCAGCAGCAAAGGACACCATGCTGGCTCACACTGGCAGTCTCTGGCCAAGGCTACAACAGCTTGGCTGCGGTGAAGCTACCTTGGGATTTTCCTATGCCTGTGCTGAAAGGAAGGAGGTCTGGCTTCATGCGTCCAATTGCAGCTTCCAGCACAGCTTGCTTTGCACTCCATGATCTATTTGGCAACCATGGGCAATTATTTTCCTGTATTTTAATGCCTGTCCCTTTCTTCATGACCCAGTTATACAGAGGTCACTGTGGTCTGGCATGTAGTTTTGGGATCAAGATACAGAAATTATATCCATTCTCAAAGTCACTCTGTTGGTTGCCTTTCATATATTCCTTTATTCTGCTGTATTGTGCGTATCTTTCACCCTAACTTTCTCCCTGTCTGTATTTCTTTTCCCTGACTGAGCCATCAAATGTGCCCCCAGCTGGCTTCCCCTCACTGGCTGGTGTTAAAAATGTTAGCCCTAAACTCAGTATGTTACTGTAGAAGAAGGGAAGGGATGCATCAACCACCTCCTGGAAGGGAAACGGACAGGCCAGAGAAACCGACCAGGGGAAGGCAGATCCGACTGCCTCCAGACCTGCACCTTGGCAAAATTACACTTTAACCTGCCAAGAAACCGGAGTACTAGACTTCTAACAGCTGATCTCTTTGCCAGATCTCTGCCTGGGGAAGTGAAGTCTTCTGCCCTTCAATGTGCTGCTATGCACACCATTTACAGGTGAATTCAGCTTATGAACTGGAAAGTTACGGTGTGTAATAGCACCAGTAATGGGACTCAGCTACTCGAGAGGTTCCTGCTTGCTTTGTTTTTCCAACCCGACTGCAGCAGATGAGCACTAGGCGGCAATCTTGCCCAGCCTCTGCTGGTAGGTTGATCTGCACCTGACTATCGCTAAAACTCACGTCAAGGTTCTTCGGAACAACAGAAAAAAACATCACTGCAGTGCCACTGTGTGAGTAATTACCGCCCATCCTTTCACCCTATGCATTTCTTGTAGCAGAACCCAATACAAACGAGCCACAGGGAGCCGGATTGCTCTCCTATTCCCCACCAAAGCACTACTTGGGTTTACCGCGTCCCACGGAAAAGCATCACCTCTTCAAACTAACTGCAGTCCTGCTGCCACAGCCGCAGACCCGAGCTACAGAGAACAACCCACGCAGGCTGGTTTTCTTACAGGTATGAGATGAAGCTGGATCTTTGGATTACCCATCTGGGAGAGTTCTCCATTTTGCAGATGGGAAGTAGCTAATGTATTTGAAGTTTCACGTGCCTTGCCAGGAAAACATAAACTTGTAGTAAAGAGAACATTTTTAGCAATGACAGTAATTAACCATGCGAACAGATTGCCAAGGGAAATCTGTTAAACGCTCATGAGGAAGGCTGAAAACATGACAAACTGTTTTCCCAGAAGGTATGCTCCAGTTCATCCATAAATCACACGCAGAGCTCAGAAATAACTGGCAGAGCTTCTCCATTCTGGTCAGACTTCCCAATCACTGCAGTTTGATCTTTATTGCCTGGTCCCTGAAGCCAAGATATTTTTTAAGATTCTCACTATGTGTTTACCCTTTCACTTAGAGCACATTTTCAAAGCTTTGTGTAAGAGCCCAAAATCTCAGTCAAAGTCACTTACATTTTATTTCCTACACACAGCAGGTGTTTTTGAAAATTTCCCACAATACTATTTATAGGTCAAATTTATTTGCAAAACTTTAAATGCCAAAACCTTTTATTTGATGGGTGGGAGAAGGAGGAAGGAAATGACTACAAAAAGATGTGAAGAAAACAGAGTAAATCATATTAAAAAATAAACTACATATGAATTAACTGTATAAATTATCTATTCAGCTTCTTTGCTGTGCTCTTATCAGTACATTCAAGAAGTGTATTTAGCAATGTGCAATGTGTGATAGCAGTTGTCCTGTGTGTAATTCCTCTCCCATCTTTTTCAGACAAAAACACAGACAGTCAAGGAGGCTTTTTCGTTCGCAAATTTAAAATGGACATGCATACATATATACATATGCGCAAATATGTGAACATATTTAGAATGTGTGTTACATCTATGATGAAAAAGGCGGAGTGGAAGAAGTCTGTCTTGTCCTTTCAGCAGAAAGTGGGGAGATTTGTGAGTTTATTTGCCTTGAAAAGTTCACAGTTTCATACCAGTACTGGAAAATTCTGTGTCCTACAACCTTTACGGGCAATCTTTTCCTGTACCACAGAGATTTCTACAGTAAGAGAGAAGCAGAGCCTTGACAATGATGTGTATTGTAGAACACGTTGCAGTCACCTAAATGCCCAGTGAAGCTGCTCAAAGCGCCAAGGCTTTGAATTTCATTGCTCAGCCTGGTAGGTCTTAATGCAGAAATGGAGGAAGTTGTTGGTGGCGTCACAGTGACCTGGGTTGCAGAAGAGATTTGCTGTAGTGTTCTCTGATATTCAGAATTTCCCAGATGTTGAAAGTTTCACATCCGGGTATGTTGTATCACTCTAATACAGTCAAGAAGCAATGCACCCAGGCATAAATGACAGATGTCAGGTCGTGATCCAGTGTGATGAGGTAGAACCTTCTAGCCAGATGGAGGTGACAGAAAGCATTACTTGTGCATGCTGCTAGGCAAGAGCTTAGCTGAAGAAAGGTTGGACTAGATGACCCACAGAGGTCCCTTCCAACACCTAACACTCTGTGATTCTGTGATTCTGTGAAGAACCCTAAAAACACTGCTGAACAGTCAATGCAAGTGATTAGTTGAATCTTCCAACCACAGAAACCCTGTCATGACTGTAAATTCTCCTTGCTTTCACTCCAGAGGCAAACAGGAGGATCAGCAAGGATATGTGTTCTCTCTACAATAAGAGGTCTTCCAGTTGTGCTGGTGAAACACTTTAATTTTCCATGTTCTGGTTGAACACTACCATCTGTTAGATGAACTTGTCATTAACTCTTCCATGATCTTTCTCGGACGAGCATGAAGTAACAGTTGTTTAAAGATGATGTAACCTGGATACTCACATGCAACATATGATTTTATCATCTGTTTTCTGTTTTTTGACAGAAATGTTAATGAATTAAGGTGTATTTCTAGCCTATCTTTTTCATTGGGAAAGGTACTTAGAAGCATGTGTTTCTAAATGTACAGCAGCGTGTATAATGTACAATGACTACCATCTCTTCCTGTGATACTTCTGGAAGACTAATAAAACTTCATTAGATACCATTTTAATTTTTGTGTAACTATAGAAGCCAGGGCTGATGGCTGTTTTCTCTTTCCCCTACTTCAGGCATACAAAATTCATCTCTGCCTGCAGAGATCACGAAAGTGGTACTTTGGGCTCTCCTCAGCTTCTTTGGCAGGTGACAAAAAAAACCCTAGCTGAATAAATACAAAACCCAGATCATAAAGAAAAAAAAAAAACACAAAGCCAAACCAATCACAGTGGGAGTACTGTCATTAGCAGACTAATGGACAAATAAGTACGAGACTTCTGCAGAGGATATTCGAGGTTTAGTGAAGGAAGGAGACTCCCAGATCTCAACAGACATTTATGCGTTGAAAGAAAATGTCTGTGCTGATTCCATTCTCCTGCTTCCTCATGTTCAACCTGGTTTATTTTTCTTGCTCTGTGGCTCAAATCTTCAGCAGTATGCCAAATACAACTATTACTAACCAAATACCCTGTATTTTATGTTCAGCAGCCCACATTATCACACATTTTAGAATCAGCAAGGCACATCTCAAAAAACTGTGCAAGGCACAATTATTGAGTAAAGCTAGATCTGAACAGTGCATTTCTTGTTTAATGCTCATGTTACTCCCAGCTGACACGTAGAGAAAAGACAAGTGACAACACCTTTAGTGCTAGAGGATGTCTTCAGGCAGAGAACTGTGCTAAAACTGGACTGTAAGCTGAAATGCCTTAAGGACAGACTTTTACGACTTCGTGGCTCAGAAATAACTCCATGTCCTGGCTCCACCTGGTATCTTCCTACATGGGGTGAAGAGCAGGCCCATTGCAAGTACTCTTGAAAGACCGGGGCTGAGAAACACTGAACTACTGGGGACTTAAGCTCAGGAAGGAAAAGCATTGTTCCCCTTCAGTTGTAGAAATCAGCCTGCTTGCAGACTTGCCTTCCTAGGAAATAATGGAGGTTGGGCAGGGAAAGTCCATGAAGGGATCTAACTAGCTTAGGGCAGAACCACGACCAAGCCTGCTCTCCTGGAGCTCCCACCTCAGAGTCTATCATGATGAAAACATCTGCTACAACAATGCTGAGTTTATTTGGAACTGTATTTCACACATGCTTGCTTATTGTCCAGAAGTAATGGACATGAAACGTTACAGGTTTTCCAAACACTTCCCAACAAATCCTGATGAAAGGAGTTACCAGTTTCTATCTCCATTATTATTCATGCAACAGTTAATGCAAACAGATGGATACTGAAACAGCAGTGGGTGGTATCTTCATTTTATAGTAATAATGTGGTGGTTTATTCATCTGCTACCAGAATCAGGGTAAATTATTCAGTAAATACCCTGTCATTAATAAGTTTAAGGGTTTTCTCAAATCTTTACGACCTACAGACAGACTCTTCCACTCATTTGAATCACGCTATTGGGAGAAAAAAGACCTAGTTAAGCCATTTTGAGATCACAACCATGTTAAGTCCTTGGATCTTAATGGCAAAACCACCAAGGTCTTCTACTGTGTGAGTAAGCTTCTCGGATCCATTTTCAAACATTACAGAAACTTTAGCCAAAGAACACAAAGGAGCAGCCGATCTGTTTCACTACACCTTTAAAGACAGACAATTTCCTTCCTCACAGTATAGCTGTGTCACTTTGTCAAGATGTCAACTGGGGTCCATTTCTCTGCGGTAACAGCAAAATTCTGGCACTGACTTTTATTACAACCTTCTTTGCACAGGGAGTTCAGGTCCTAAACAAGGGGAGCAAAATCCACCCTCGTTCAGCCTCCCATTGAAATGACACAATTTACATTTTAAATGTTCAACAACCCATGGCTTGGAACAAAAGAAATAGTAGTGATCTGGGAGCTGTTTAAGCATCAACTTCATTTTAATGTTCATGAGACGGGGACAGGGACAAGAAGAGGTTAAATGCATACTTGAAAGCCTCTGAGAAAATCAGCAGCAAAGACAAGATTAGGACCTCATGCCTCTACATCATACAGTGCCTCAAAACAAATAAGCGTTTGATTTACTTATAGCAGGATTAGTAAAAGAGAGAGAGAGAAGGGGATTTTGCCCTACAGATAAAGTAAAAAGCCCTCCCCAAAACAACCCTCTCTTTCTTCAAAAACCCATTGTAAGAAAAATGGCCCCATCTAGATGCATATACAGAAACCGCTCCTACAAGTTTGCAATCAACACTGGCACTCACCGTGGCATATAAAGCTGAGTAGATGCTCAAAGCAGCATGTTTGGATGGGAAGGATCTCCTTGCCTTTTCAATCACCTCCACATCGCCCGTGCAGATGTTGCCATTGTTTATGAACTGGTGGTGGGTCCGACAGTCGTTTCCAGTGTAGTTGGGTTTACATACAGTCAGGAAGTAGGGAGCCAAGTTCCCAGTCACAACCTGGCCAGCGTTTACAAATATGTCAGTGGCAAAAAGTCCAAATGCAAACACTCCTGTGAGGAAGGGTTAAAAATAACAGTTATTCGAACAGGTTTACAAAAAAATCTTGGTACCTGACAGGAAGAGACATAATGAGATTTAAGGGACCAAACCCTGCAGTCATTACCCGGAAAAAGCCCCTGCTGACTGCAGCAGAGTCCTGCATCAAAGACATGACACACAAGACCGCATGCTTAACTCTGACAGCTGCATAACTCAGCAACTCTAGAACTCAGAAACAAGCTGAAAATAATAAGCATGTGCCTTAGTATTTTTGCGATTCAAGCTGTGAACAGAATTGTGAGCTATAGATTTCACTGAAAACTGTACCTATACTATGCCTGCAAAGTTTCCACTATGAAAAAGGCTCACAGCCTGCAGCCAAGTGACAGGCACGTGAGTTGTTAAAAATTTTTATGTCTTTTTACCACATCTGGGCCAAAATCCAGTAATATAATGGCTCTGAACCTGAAAGAGCAGTGTAGTGCTGAGACACAATACTGCACTTACCTTAAAGTGACTATCTAGTGTCTGGTACCTTTTGGATTTTGACTATTCACTGTCTTGACATTGAAAAATTAAGATCCTGATCTAGCAATATTTGGCAGGTCTTTTGGGAAACATCCTAATGCTTTGCTCTGGAAGACATTTCCACACAGCTGCAGTTCAGCTCATCTCACTGGGAGCACATACCCACAAATGTTGTAGCAGGAAGCATTCACTTGAACACAGGAACACTTCCAGGATTGTGGAGCATCCCTTGCTTGATACTGCAGTTGTCTCACCCTCCACTGACTACCCATGAGTGCTACCAATACCTGCTACAGCTAATATGAACATTAATGAGCATCTTTCACTTGCATGTACTGCTTACAAACCAAAGGGACAGAACAGCAGGTGTGCAGAAATGCCAAACCCACACATTCTGAAAGACTAAATTGGCTCCCCTTTCCCCCGTCCCATCACCAAGATGGGTTAAAGTGTCACAAAAATTTAGCACAAACAGATATTTACTCCTGGTGCGCGAATGTTGAGGGTCATATATTTTTGCTTTCTCCGTCCTGCAGCTCTGTAAGCAAAAGTCATTTAAACTATAAATTAGCTGAGATTGCTATGTATTTAAACATAATCAAGAGCTGGATCTCCAGGGAAAACATCTTAGGAGAGCTGTGATAAAATCTTAAGAGCTGGCACCACTGTAGTTGTAACAACTTCACTGCTTATCCGCACCAAGTTTTTTTAAAAAGAAAGAATATTATGGTCTGAGAAACTAAAAATATCAGGGAGTCAGCAATATAATGCAGCAGAAAGTGCTTTACATCAACTTAACAAGAACCAAGGACAATTCTGCAGGTTTTGTCACTCACCACACAGCTAACAGAAAGCAGATGGGCTACAGCTGACAGAGTTAGGTCCTTCTAAACATTCAGGGCCTATCTACACACAGCACACTTGTACAGGCAGTAACATACAGTCAAACCCATAACTAAAACAGGATTCACTGTACAAGTGTCAAGTCGGGATTGCCAGTGCCACTCACTCACAGAGACGGTGTGGTGTGACCAGTACAGCCACTCTCTGACACCAGTTCCTCACTGGGGTGCTGATGGGAAGAGCCCTCTCCTTGGGCAGCAGCCTGCAGCAGCTGCAGGAGTGCAGAGTGGTTTGCCCTCACCACACCTCCCCAGGTGTAGGAATGAGCGTTACCACAGTGATGACAATTTTGGGGACTGAATTTATTACTATTCTTTATATGAGTTTATTATCATTCATTATTAATGAACATGGATTTTAAAAGCCAGTGATGGTCAAAGAAGGAGGTAGCCTTCCTCTGGTTCTGGACTACAGGACTGGCCCCCGTCTTTTTACTGGCATGCCAGTCTTCCTCCAGTTTATCCTGCTCAGGTCTGTGTTTAAAAGTGAAATGGAGAGAGGACTGACACTGCTCCTTTATTTCCTTTATTCGTTTGCTAATATTTTAAATCCATGGTTTTCCACAGCTGGTAGGAGCTCCTCATCTACGTTACTGAGTACACCAGCAAGTTCAAAGGAAAAAGGCAGTAGGTGTCTTTTCAGCCTGGTGAAAGAGCAAGTTACACCACAGATTCATATTGTTCATATACAGCTCTTTGGCCAGATTCTTTTGGCACAGCTTGTTTTAAATGGCATCTTTTTGATGCACTGTGCAAATCACAGGGAATGCAGTAAGGATTATCACCCAGACCATTACCACACTTAAGAGGAAATCTAAGAGCCAGGCAGTCTTGCCCACGGACTTCATCGTGTAAGCAGGGACAAGCCAGGAACCGAGGTGTTTCAGAAAAAGCTCATGGGCTTCACAAAGTTATTTCGATCTCTAGGCAGTACACAGGTACAAAGGTGGTCCGGTGTTTTTCTCCGAAAAAAAGAGAAGTTTTAACACCTGCAATTTTTCGTATTTGGTAGCACTGAAAGTGCTGGCCCAGACTCAGCTGCTGAGGGCTGCAGTACTCTGCAGAACAGCAGAACAAGCCGTGGTTCAAATCTTTATCATGCTCTGACTGTGATGCGTATTGATCACTGTAATTCCCCTCTTGCAGTCCTGCCAAACTGCGCCTTATGAAAATCATAGCTATGTGCAGCAATGAATTTGGCTGGCGGGAATTCAACCCTTGCAGACTGATTACACATCTTGTAGTCTTTGGAGACTTTGAGAAAGGGTTGGCTGTAATTGATTCAAAGGCCGTAACACCAGTGAGCCTGGGTTAGTAGTGGAGAGTCCCCTGATGGTTTTTGTACCTCAGGAATCCATCTGTTCAATGGATTTGTTCAATGACCTACAGCAGCTAAGCTAACTGACCAGAGCAGGAGAATGAAGTGACGTGGTTGCCAGGTTTTTAGAGGCAAACAAATTGCTGCTGAAAGGCTTCATGGGAAGGGCAACTAGCCCTAGCTCTCCACGGTCATACAGCTGAAGTCCATGATACAATGTCACACAGAGGGAACGGGAGAACATGTACCTCTTCCAGACTTTGATGGGAGGTGATGGCACCCTGCTAAGGAGCAAGCGCGTTATCTCACTGTGCTCACTCTGGCCTAGAAAAGCTGGGACTGAACTTTAGTCCAGAACTTGTGGTACGCTGAGGAAAGATGTAAACAGTGCAAGGCACATGGGAAGAAGACCTGCAGTCTCCACAGTTGGTTACTAGCAGAAAGGATGGACAGAGGTTAGTTTTGTTTCCATAAAGCTACTCCTTCCCCTCATCCACACAGTCTGGCTGCACAAAGATGCTTTAGAGCAGGAGTAGAAGTTATTTCTGGAAAGGCTTCCTGAATTTTTGTTGCTGTCTTGGCTCTCAACTGTGTTTGTGCGTGTCAGGAGCAGCGAGAAAGAAGAGGTTAGAAGGCAAACCAGTAATTAGAACATAACTGGGACAGAGACTAATTTAGGCCAGAGACAGAGGGTGGCCTACACTCCCTGCTACTCTCTTTAGCTGCCCCACAGTCCAAGAAGAAGGAACTGGGGATCAGATTTGAACACATCTTTACCTCCAGTGAGACACACCTTAGACAACTCAATATGAAAACCAAAAAAAAAGAAAAAACAAGGAAATTCTGTTCAAAAATGCTGAGGACAGAGCACATGAACCTTAAATCTTTCCAGCTCCATCTCACCTGAACTTACACTTGCCTTGGAAGAAGAATCTAAATCTTCAGCAGCTTAAATTCTGAATGCTTCAGTTTTGATTTCTCCACTTACACCTCCCCCTAAATTGCTGTCAAAAAGTCATCCAAGCATGAACCCATAATTTCGGGGCTCTCACATGCTACTCTCATGGTCTTTCTCCTACCAAGCTCCCCGTGTGGCTGATCATCAGTGTTGCAACCTCCAGCTCTGTCTATTGCTTTTGCTAACAGAGATATCTGCCCCAAAAAAGAATGCAGCTCTCCTTGCTCACTGTAGTTGCAGTACAACTCTGTCTTCTGCCTGCAGCTTGTGCTCAAGGTCTCTCTTTTTCCACCATGAACGTCTCTAACATCAGCGACGGCAGCTGCTTGTTGACTCCATGGAAACTCTCACTATTACAGACATTTAAACTGCCACTGATTTGAAACAAAACAACAAAAAACCAGCAACAGAAAATCAACAAAAAAACCCTAGGAGCTGTAGAAGAGCAGCTGAAAAGACATTGGGAAGAGAGGAGTGAGAAGCCAGTGGGTGGAAATGAGAACGAGGAGGTAGAAGGCTTTATCAGAGAAAAACTATGAAACCCTTAAAGTGACAAAAGAAACAATGCATTGAAGGGCTCATGAGATATCAGACACTGCGCTCTTTAGTAACACATCGTCATGCCTTCTACCAAATGCATTTATTTAGGCACTCCTCTCTCTCCCAGTGCCCAGTCAATTCTCTGAATTTGTCACATTCAACATAATTTGCTCAGAAAACGTTTGTATTACATATTTATGCTCATACTTCCCCCAACCCGTTTCTCACCCCTATGTTTTTTAAAGTATATTAGAATTTCAATGGAGGGAGTCCCTGGAAAGACTCATGGCTCTATGGAAATGCTGACCCTCAGCCCATCTCTAAAGGTTTTGCTCTAATGGTCCCATGCATTCAATAAAGGCATACGTTTATAGTTCTGTGACTCAAACTCTACTAAACCACCCTTCATCATTATATCTTAAAGGGTGTTGTTAAAGGAGATATGTATCATTAATCCATTTTACAGCTGAAGAGATGGAGGTTGCACAGAAATTTATTGTTTGTTGCCATGGCATCACAAACAGACTCAACAGCAAGCTGCTTCTGAGCCCTCATAGTATGATCCCAGGATTGGCTTTGATCTCCCAGTGAAGACCCCACAAAGCTCACTGTTCCAGGCATCTACTGCCTCTTGTGTCTGTCGGCTTCACCTGTGAGTGTCCTGCCTGGGTGCTGTTCCCTCAAGGCATAAGCGTAAGAAGAAAGACAAGTGGTCTGAGCATGCAAGAAGAAATCCAGTTCCCAGTGCAAAAGTACTCTGGAACCTCAAGACTCCTCCCCACCAACACACAGGATTTCTTTCTTCCTCGCTGCTTCACAACTATCAGTTTTCATCTAGACAACGGCCAGCTCAGAGCCTGGCATAAAAATGAACAGTAAGGTTTGATTTGTCCCCAACACAGTGACCTGTTTCTCACTGTGGAGCTTCTGCAGTGATAAGAAGGGACACCCAGAGTAGTTCAAACTGTGGCAGCAGTATAGGTTAGAGGCAGCACAACCAAATATAGCCTGAGCCCTGCTGAAAGGCAGCCAGTTAATAACAGAATGCGCATTGTTTCACAGTGAACTTCAGATCCAAGGCAGACAGAAGGATAAGGTCAGGCAAACTATGTCCTGCAGCTGCCTAGAGGATTGACACCAGAGCTCTGGGGTGTATCTATCCTATTACAATAAACTCAATGTGTGTATAAATCTTGTAAACCTTTATTTGCTGAACTAAAGCCTTAATTTGCTGAAATAAAGCCCTAATTTCATTATTTAGCTGCCCACTGTGAGGTGTCAACATGCTTTAAATGAAGCTGTCAGCAGAAGCTGATCTGCGCCATTTGTTAACTGCAAATTATACAGGTCCAAAGTAAAACCCACTGGTAACAAATTCATGAAGCACGTTGCATTTCTAAGTATGATGAGAAATGGAGAGAAGCTACTTGCATGTTATCAGGGCTTTGCAGGTATACAACTTAATCACATCTATTAGAAACACAATATAATGAAATGCAACACAATACACACTCTAATCACCCTGACAAACTGAGTCAGGGAGGTCTGAATCCATGATCCTGGGGGTATGATAGCAGCTGTATATAAGCAGACTAAATCCTTGACTGAAACTATTCACTAAATAATGTTAAAATAGTTTATAACCTCTATTTGCAATACAAACGATGAAGTAGAACACCGACGCAAATGCAAGATGGCAAGATGTTAAGAAAGTACTGAACGGGAAATTACCCCAAGACAGAGTGAATAAAAATACGAAAGGCTGTGTGTACTCAAGTTGGGAGAAAAGGCAGAGGCCCAGGAAACAACCTCTCTTACCCCCTGGTTTCTCAAAGGTCCAGCACATAAATGGTGAATTTTGACAGCAGAAATTCATAGTAAAACTGATGGAAGGGGTAGGAAGAGGAGGGAGGAGAGATGATGTGACTAAAGAATAGCAGTGCAGCACCAATGTTTTAGACAGAAAAAAATGCTCCAAAGCAATTGCACACCACTTGTTTGACCTGAAAATCTTCAAAATAAATGTCTGTGGAAGCAGCTATAAAAGATAAAGAGGAAGATGGAACAAACTACACCATACATCAAAGTGTGATGTTTCCAAGCTAAGCCAGCTTTTTTTCCACTGATAAAGGAACTGATTTTCTAAATACAGTGAACATAGCAGGTTTCACCAATCTAGGCTGCAGTAAAGGGCTTGACGTACACTGAAGCAAGTTGATAGGCAGCTCTTCACCACAAATAAAAGCGCAAATTACTACCAATATGCAGAATTCATGCATGGGCCACGAAACAAGAAGAAATTTTGTTCTGCTTCCTGTGGACAAAGAACCAGGGAGGGATTTAAGAAAAAGTTCAACATTCAAGGTGCCCACTAAACTCAGGAGGGGAGAATCTTAGAAAGAGACAGCTACCAAGGGCTTGAAGAAAACAAGGAGAGAATAAGCAGAGAGCATAGTAGGCAAGATAAGAAAAATCAAGGAAAAGAAGCACTGGGCTTTGGCAACATCCCAGAAGAGTTGCTGGTTTTTGGTTTTGCTTAGTTCTTTCCTCCTCTATCAAAGCGCAAAAAAATGCTTCATTCTTTATATATGAAGAAAAAGCAAGAGGGGAAAAGGGTCAAGTCCAGCAACCAAAATCCAAAAGAACCTATGGAGATAATATGACAAGGGTCCT